TATGAAGTATCAAATTAAAAAATTTATATATACGCATAACGTAAAACCTACACCAAAAAACCAAAAAACTAAAACACTGAACCTTAATCCCTTTCTATCGCTGAGGGATATGTTGGAATATAAATAAAACTATATTTATCATCTTAAATATATATATATTTTATTTTAATAATGCTTGCACATATTTTGATTCAATAACAAAAGAATAAAAATGTATTTAAAAGAATTATTAAGATATAAATAATAAAGTTTTTATGTGATGTTATAAAGTGTAATGCTATGTGAATTTATTTCCACAATTATATAAAAATTATTACGTCCAGGTTCAAGTAGAATTGAAAAGAATTAAATTATTGTAAGTGCATATTACATATAGGAAATTATATTATTAATTTAAATAGGTTTTATTGAAATTTAGACGTAAGAAACGTCTAAATTTTATATATTTCTTAATGATGAAAAAAATAGTATGATTTGTGCTATATTACAACTAATTTATTCATCCGTAAAACGAGTAACAATATAATTAAAATACATTAAAAAAACTAAAAATGATATATGAATAAATATTATATACAATTCATATTATATCGCTATTTATGTAAAATGATACAAATTAAATTGATATGAAAAGTAAGTTATTGATATACTACAAATATATAAAAATAGACATGTGTAAAATGTACAAATATATTTACACATATATTTATTCTATTAAAATATATTCATGCAGTAATGATAACGTCAGTATGAAATATAATATTTGTTGTATATTTTGTGTCCAGTTATTACATAAATCACTTAAAAAAAAATTACCATATACACTCATCCGAAAAATATTTTATAAAAGCAAATATCATTGTTATACATATATATATGTATATATTTTTCAGATATGAAATGAATAATAAAAGATAAAAAAATCATAGCAGAAGCAAAAATATTTATAAAAGAAGACGTCTCTAAATCTAAATCCTGAAACATCACCTTAAAACAGTGTAAAAATTTTTTCTTTTTGTGTATTTTATATTTTATAAATATTCAAACTAACATGAAATTCATGATAAGTAACATTTAGTGTTATTTTATATATTCATTTTTTTATTTATATATTAGATCATTTTATATATTTTCATATCATTTTTTCCCCTCATATTGTATTTTATTATATAATTTTATTTTATTTTTTTAGTACCATTATTAGTATCATACATATATGAATAAGGAATTTTCTAATTTTAGTTAACCAATATTCAGTAATATAATTATGATTGCATAAAAGTTACATCATCTTTTTAAATAAGTATATTAGTATTTTCTTTCTGAAACATATGATACATTATAACATTTTCCTTTAGAATTCCTATGATAATGTTTTCTGTTCCACATTGGATGCTCGTATGTTTCGTCTCTTATATTTTTATTTATTCTTCGAAAGCGATTACGTAAATAATTTCTTGCTGTAGTAAGCTAATATTAAAAAAATATATATGGATTTTATAATTTAATTACTTGTTGAATCCAATCTTATTTCCTTTTAATTATATAATAATACTATCCTTATAGGACAAAAAATTTTAAATAAAATTTTATTTAACCTTATAGATATAATATAGTACTGTTACTAAAATTACACTACTAAGTGTAGTTGCTATTATAACATTCATATTAGCTGGTTGAATAGAAGACCTTGCACTAATGTACGAATAAATTTGTTTTGAATATTCCTTTAAATATTTTATTTCCTCAGGTCCATTACAATTTATTATATTATGTGAATTATTGAACGTATCTGTTAACCTATCTTTGCAATTATTATATAACTTATTATTTTCTATTGAGCATCTGAGATTTTTTAATTCTTTGTTGAAATATGTATCATCTTTATGTTCTACGATAATTTCATTATATTCTTCAATGAAATCATTTAAATATTCGCAATCATTAGGATAATTATTATCTTCTGAATTCGAATTTAAAATATTTTCATAAATTTCATATAAATCATATAATTTATTCATTTTATCAAATTCTGCTTTTTCTATATATTTTATTTCAAGCAAACATATATTATAAGGATTATCAGTTTTAATACGTTCAACAAATATATTAAAATGTTTATTAATTTCCTCATCATTATATTTAAAATAATCTGTAATTTTTTCTCTAATATAGTAGTTAATGTAGTTACAACATTTTTCGTTTTTACAATAATCATTATAAGACATAATATTATATAGTTCTCTTATTTTCTGACAAATATTATTAAAATTATTGGGTTCCCTATCTTTTACGGACACTAAATTCTGCTGAATCAAACTATCAATGTCATTCGAAATTTGTATAAATGTTGACAAGGATTTAAAAAATACCCTAAAAAGGATATAATCTTTCCAGTTAATATACTAATAAATAATATATAAATATGGATGAATTCATATGTTATATAAATCTGAAAAGATGAATTTTATTCTCAAATCGTCCATAGAGTTCATGTAATATTAATTTATTTATATATTCCGAAAATTAATAAGGTACCGCTTCATTTTTTTTAGCAGGTGTCATTATATTTTATATAAAAAAAAATTAATTTTATAAATAATGTCTCTATTAATATTTATTGATTAGAGCATCTAGTGACGATATAGATATATGTCCATTTGTTCTGTTATGAATTTTAAATTTTAATTAATTTTTCCCCCAGGGACATTTTAGCTTGACTTATTAATTTATATTATTGTATAATTATTACATTTGAGGATTATAAATACATGTGTACAACATACGAAATATAAAATATAAATTAGTATATATTATATAATCAAATATTTAATAGATATTTTCTAAAATCTAATAATTATGGGATAAAATTATATTATTCTTATGAGTGATACAAAAAAATCAGTATCACCTTAATAATCATATATATTTTTAGAACAATCAGAAGAGCAAAATATATAAATACATAACATTCGTTTGAAAAAAATGAATCCTTAATATTAAATCGTTAATAGTATTTGATAAAATAGCACTTTTATTATTATTACATGCAATACAAAGAATAAAAATTGTATGTATTATTTATTCTTTGTATTATACGTAAATTAGAAGTACCATTGTTTATTAATGTTAAAAAAAAATTTTTTATTTGTATAATATTTATTTATTATACAATTAAATATTCATATACATTTATATTATGAAAAATATGTTAATCCGGCGCATAAAAAGAAATAAGAATATAATACTATTAAAATTATTAATTATATAAAATCTATTTTTCACAGGGTTTAGGGTTCACTTTTTTTGTTTGAGCAATATTATATTTTGTTTTGAGTATTTATATATTCACCAATATTTTTATTGTAATGTGTATATAATGTTAATTTTTATGTGATATTTATATTTTTTAAAAAATATTCAACATTATTATATATTTAGGCAGAATTAATGCATGAATATTTGAGACACAATAATATTACTAAACATTATCGCGAAGTATATGAATTTTTTAATATATATGCAAAATATATTTATCTTATATGATTATTTTAACTTACTTTAATAATCGTGATTTATTATATGTATTATTAATTAACTGAATGAAGCTATTGAATTATTTTTATGGTAATACATATACATGCGAAAGTAGTATTTTATCATCAGTTATTATTTTTATTTTTATAATCTTATATATATATACTAATTATTTTATACGAAATGTACATATTTTAAGAATCCCTATGCGTTATATAAAATATTTTTATGATATGTTTCCTTTATGTTAGATAATAATATATTTTTATT